GAATGAAAATGAAAGCCAGATGATCTCTGCCAGTTTATCATTTGCACCATCTCCTGCTCCTGCTTTCTTTTTAAACAGATTTATTCCTGGTCATTACCAGATCAGACTCAGGTTATGGCTTCATTCTGCCTGAGGGGGATTTGATTTGAAATCCCTCGAGGAATATACCATCAAATCATTTCCTCTCTATAACAGAATAAAAAAGGGGGTGTGTGAGAGGGAGAGGCAGCACGCAGTGCGACAGAGGCTGTGACTTGAGGGCATCGCAGCGAGGCAGAAACCCTCTTCAGCCTCCCCCCCACCACAGCCATCATGGGAATCTTGGGGATGAAATCAGGAAGGCAGCATGACAAAGTCCAGGGATAAGATGCAGGAAAATCCTAGTGCACTGCCAGAGGCTGGCTGTGGTTTGCATCCATCGCATGATGCTCAGGAGCATCTGATGTATGGCTGGGGATGGGCAGCATGGTGGAAAGCACCTCACATGATGCTCAGGAGGTTTTGCCTGGCTTTCTGCAGGGCTGAGCCTGCAGCGGGGAGGGACTGGAGAGTCTCTCTTCTCATCTCTCACCTTTGCCTTTGGCGAAATCAGATCACTCAGTTTACCAAGAGAAAAAAGTATTTTGTGTCAGGTTGCAGATATTTGCCTGTTTTGCAATTTTTTTCCACTATAATGAGCCTTTACATGCCTATAATGGCCAGCGTGAGCCCCTTGAGAAATGAGGAGAGGAAAACTCTCSGCTTCATCTCCTCCCTGCAGTGCTAAGCACTAAGTTCATTTTGCTGTGTCTTTTGGCATGTTGCTCTGCCTCTGTCAGCTTTGCAAAGCACCTGGCTTTGGGCTGCGCTTGGTGTCTTCGAAGCTCTTGGATGAAAACAGGAATCCAGGAAAAGGATTGAAACAACCTATGTGGACATAGGTTCATTTCTTAAACAYGGTCCTTAAGGAATGGTGAAATGGAGCAAAGCCAGGTCCCATCAGCAGGGCTGAGTTGGTCAGATCTTTTCCAAGTGCTGTTTTCTGACCCTTTTTTGAGTATAGCTGAATTTATTACTGCTTATTAAATGTGTACCTCCTGACAGGCTGCACACCTGCCTAACTGATGTTGCTCTTGGAYGCTTACAGAAACCCTCTCGACCTAAAAATCTAGTTACTTTAAATCCTGTTAAATTACTCAAGCAGCCTTGCTCAAGAAATGCGGCTGCTCAAGTGCACAAAGCTGGGGATGGCTGGCTGATTTTTGTTCCCAAGCATAAGAAAGTGGCTAGTGATCTCCCTCTGCAGAGTGGAAGGATGGGCTGCATTTGGGAGCCTGGGGAGGCCTCCCATTAGCCTGCAGACCAGCCACTTGCCTGCATCTTAGTGCTCAATGAGCAGGAAATTTCTGCTATCTTGTCCTTGCCTCCTRTTTGCAGATAGATGCGTATTTTGGGCCATTTTATCAGTGGCCCTAGGCAAGACTTTGTGCAGTGAGGATTTGCTGTGCCAAACGTGAAAAGAAGACACAAGCAGCAGTTATACAGAGCAGTAAGAGGCTTGTGCCAGTGCTGCTGGTCACTGGCATCTCTTTACAAGTACTGCAGATGTAGTGGRAACAGGAACATAAACACTTTATCCTTGAAAACTTGGTGCTTTGTTTATAATCTAGGCAGACATTCATAGTGCAACGGCTGCTTGGATCATCTTTGCAGGGCAGGGATTGTGMAATCAAGGAAATTAAATATATTTGCTCTTTCTAAGATAACTTGCCACATCAGTGAGCTTCCACTCAGCTGCTCCATTACCAAGAAGGAATAGCTGCCATGGATGAAGTGTGCAGTGTTTCTCTTAAAGGCTGCAGGATCTAAGCTCTCATAACTGTTGGGKTTTTTTTAAAGAAAATTATTTGTTGCAGCAGTTTCTGGGTATGGACATCATGGGACTAAAGCAGGGGATGTTGCCTGTCAGGAGCAGCAGCAGCAGCAGCAATTGCCTCTTTCGCAATTGCAAAATTCCTGCCTGGAATCTTTGGTTTGAGCCTGCCCATTCTTGCCCAATCTGTGTAATCCAGCCSAGCTCAAGGCTTCTGTGCACAGTGGGTCCTCACAGCATTCCACTGTGCCATCAGGGTGGTGACAGGCTGGCAAAGGGAGCAAGCCATCTCTTTGCCCTCTCTGCAGTGCCAGGGAGTGGAACATGGATCAGAGCTGATGCCAGTGGTGAGGAAAACACAGAGAGAAGGAGACATATCTTATACTACTGTGTTTTGGTCCATGGAAAACTCTCCTGAGGACAAAGAGTACTTTGGGGTGGCTGTTCCAGGACTCAGAAGAAAAGCATCCCGTGTCTTATTCTGCTCACAAGTGAGAGCACGCTTAGTGGAATCTCGCCAGAAAACGCCGAAGATCATCTGAAATCAGATGCTTGCCTGTAAATCATACCTTGGGCACCTCCAGGCTGTGAAACAGGTTTCTCTTCATAGGAGAAAAGTTTGGCATGTTTGCTGACTGCAGATGGAGAAGGGACAAAATTAGGGAGAGGGAGATGTTCCTCTGGTCTTGTGACTCTGAGCTGTGCCTTTATGATGTGCCAGCATATAAAGGTATGAAAGATCAAATGCAAAAAGAAATGTCCTYCCCAGCAGCAAACCCAAAGCTAAAAGCAGGGAGATGGGTATCAGTACATATCTCCACAGATGTGTCTCTGAGGAGGGACCATTACAGAAGTTCATTCATCCCAAATGAAGAAGCAGAGACTCACAATACAGCCCGTTGTAGGGGTTTATCTGACTCAGGGAATCAACTTTTTACCAGTTTTAAGTCCTAAACCAAAATTGAACACCAGACTATGCCACTTTTGAGACTGTTCCTCATCTTCCAAAGAGAAGATAAGCTTTCTGTCTAATGCTGCAGAAAACAGGGCACCCACTTTGTAAGCTCAGTATRTGGTGGTTGGTACTTCAGATGTCAGCATCGGTGCTGGTCACAGCCTCACACTGGGATGTCACTTCAGGAGACTGTCAGCTCTTCCTCCACTCAGAGGAACAGGGTGTTATTGCCAATGACCCTGCACACACCTGTCAGCCTGGCCTGTTGTGAAGGTGTATGAGACATCCCACTGAAAGAGCCTGGCTGTAATTGTCTGCAATTTTGCTGCTTTCCAAACCATTCAGGCTGAAGTTTTGAGGACTAAATCGTTGCTTTTAGCAGAAGAGATTCGCATTTAATTTTCATGGTCAATTTTTGCAAAATATGATCAATCTTGATTTGCAAGAAGGAGGAGGACAAATGGGTTATTTTACTTCTAAGCTTAAAAAACTCTTCTGATTTGCAGAGAAACCATGCAGTTCCTACACTTAGGAACACCATCTTCCAGCTTTTTTTAGTTTACTCTAGTGTGATACGCTCAATTTCAGCAACCCAAGCATGACCCAATTATGAGTCTCGAGGTGAAAAAATAATATTGGTGTCAGTTGATATTTGCTAGAGTTTGGCAAGTGAAATGTGGTTAGTGTTGAGTATCTGCCCCTGGGCTGTTGCGGGACTGTGAGTAAGGTTTTTCCACTGGTTCTTGATTCCACAGACAAAGCAGCAAAGGTCTGTGCTGTGGATCTCAGGTATCCAATCCCACTGATGATCAGTGGTGTATTGGTAGGCATTAATCAATGATTTTCCCTGCACTCCCAAAGSTGCTTCCCTGCTTTCTGGGCTGTCTTCTGGTGCTTGGTTGGGTTAAGTGGTACTGTGATCCTGACCTAGCAAACACTCAGACCTAGCTCCTCTTCCTGCAGGAGACTTGGCCTCCTTATCTCTTGTGTGCTGCTTCTTCTTGGGGTTGGGGTGGTGGTTCCAAGGGTGCCAAGTCTTGTTGTGCAGGTATCTCCTAGGCTGGTAGAGTACCCTGATGATATCCTAGCGCACTTYATACGTAAGTTCGTCCCATGCTTGAGGTCCCATTCCCCATTTCCCTGAGGCTCTCGCAGGCAGCCTCCAGTTGGCTGTTCCTACTGAAGGTCTCCAGGTGTCCTGCAAAGAAAAATCTGTACATGCTGCCTTAATATTACCCTCTTTCTTCTGTGGGGAAGGGGAAGCTGTTTATTTGAGATGCAGGACTGGGGCTGCTGTAAATAGCTCTCTGCTTTGGTGAATCTGCTGTGTCAAAGAGGGACAGTCTTGTTGCAGGCAACGAAGGCTAAGCCCATGAGCAAAGATTAAACCAGCAACTGCGGATCAGGGCATTTCTACCTGCACTCATCCTTAATTCTGCCTGATTTAAAATAACGTGCAGTGGCAGTGGTGGTGACAGGTAGGGAGCACTCACAGTGTCCCGATAAGTGGACCCAGAGTAGGGATGTTTGGCCCCTGAAACCTGTGGGGAAGGTTGGAGGGAGTTGGCATGTGGGTGAGTGGGCAGGATAGGTGGTGTCATGGACTGGGCTAATGGAAAACTGCTGGGGAGATGGGGAGAATGGAAGCCCAGCAGAATGGAGTTGCAGAGCAAGCAAGGCTGTGGATTGTGGGAAGGTGGCTAGGGAAAAGAATGTAGTAGCTTGGTAGATAAAATCAGTGAACAGATGCATGGTAGAAACAATTTCTTGAAGGGAAAGGAGTGAGTGGGAGAATAAGTGCAGACTAAGAGGATTTCCACTACTTGAAGTCACTGTATGCAGGCAGTCGCACCAAGACCGTATCCCAATTTACACTCCGTGTCACCTCCCTGTGTGTCTGTTGGAAGCCACCTTTACTCCAGACTGCAATTGCTTTGCATTGCTTTAGGTCAGATGGATAAAAGGTTCAATCTATAAATGTCCTATTTTAAGCTAATCCTCAGAAATAAAATGAGACCATGTCCCTAGTAAATTCCCTGTGGCTACAGCCCAGGCAAGGCAGCAGGGTAGGAGCTCAGCAGAGCAGWGAGGTGCTGCCAAAGGGTGTCGGTCGCTTGCAGATCTCTGCTCCTTTGTGCTGATCCAGAGAGATGGGGCTTGCCCTGACATGTCTCCATCTTCCCTTCCCACCAGGTGTTCTCCATCGTGGTGTTTGGCTCCATTGTCAATGAAGGGTATGTGAACCGTGTGGATGAGTTAGAAGAGCACTGCATTTTCAACCGCAATCACAATGCCTGCAACTATGGCATTACCGTGGGTGTCCTCGCCTTCCTCAGCTGCCTTCTTTACCTGGCTCTGGATGCCTACTTCCCACAGATCAGCAGCGTCAAGGACCGCAAGAAGGCAGTGCTCTCGGACATCGGAGTCTCGGGTGAGCTTCCTGGCCATTTGGCCATAGTTGGCCATAGGCTTATTCCAGGCATTCAGGCAAACTGCCCCATATCAGAAGTGGAGTGAGAGCAGAGTCAGGTGAAGCACCTGAATTTGTTACGGACTTTGGGCTTGCAAATTCTTTCACAGTTAGCCACTTGCCTAGCAGTCCCATGTACAGCTGACAAGAGAATGTGCCATGTTTTGCTGCTGCTTAGGAATGCCCGTTTCCCTCACTGCCAGGTGTATAGTGGTTAATACTCTACGTTCAAACCACRACAGTGCCTGAGCCTGGTAGAGAGGGTGAGTATCTCCTACTTTGAGCCCTTTCCTGGGGGCACTGCGTATTAGGGATCCTTCAGTGGCTTTCCTTGATATTAGTCCCTGAGCTGTTCTGTATCGAGCACAAGCTGGTCTCTGTGCAACAGCAGACCAGCTGCTTCCCACTCTTCTGCAGCTCCTGCAGAAAGAATCACTCTTTGCTTGTCCTTGCAGGACAGGATTGGGAAGCAGTGGCTGTTTCATGGAGGCCAGGTGATTGCTCTAGTACTGGAAGCCCTTCAGGCTCCCTCCCAAGGCCAAATGCAAGTCCTGTGATCAATCCAAACACAAGCAAATGAACTCTCCTGAGGTGCTTTCTGCAAACACCTATTGCCACCTTGAGAATTTGCTGTCAGGGAGCTTGCCAGCTCATTTGGGCTCAGACTTGGCTGAGCAGACAGTTTTTCCTAGTCTGTAACATAGTGGGTCTCAGAGGGTTGAAATTTCCRTAGAAATGTGATATGTGTATGCTATGCTCACACATACCCTCTTGATGTCTCTGTCCTTTCCTTTGACATGCCGGTGGTGGTCCATCCCAGCCTTTTGGGCGTTCCTCTGGTTTGTTGGCTTCTGCTTTCTGACCAACCAGTGGCAAGCTTCGAAACCAGAGGACAACCCACTGAATGAGGGAGGGGATGCAGCCCGAGCAGCCATCACGTTCTCGTTCTTCTCCATCTTTACCTGGGTGAGTACTGTGGCCATGATGCTGGATCAAACGTCCTCTGTCCTGTATTATCTTGTGGGGAATGAAAGGTGACTGGCTAAGAGTGATCCCCTCYGGGATCTCAGTTCATATGGCTTCTGAAAAGAAAAAGCAGGAGAGCAGGTAGTTGGGAAATGAACTTGGGAAACCGGGACTCAAAAACTTATGTGGAAGAAGGTTTTTAGGGCACTAATAAGCACAATGGGAAAGAGAGTCCCATATCCCACTAAAGAGTGTTCTTGACAGACCTTGGACAAGCCAGCTCCCCAGCCACCATTGTCATAGAATCATATGACAATCTGGGTTGGAAGGGACCTTTAAAGGCCATTTAGTCCAACCCCCTGCAAAGACCAGGGACATCTTCCTTTAGATCAGATGGCTCAGAGCCCAGTTCAATCTGACTTTGAATGTCTCCAGGAACAGGGCATCCACCACCTCTCTGGACAATTTGTTACCATTTTTGCTCAGTGTCAGAGGACTTCAACAGCATTTTCACCTTACAGACACTAAGCAGAGAAGGGAGCTCCAGGCCAGGGTTTGTACTCATCTCCCTCACAGCTTTGCTCTCATCTTGTGAGATGTCATCATTGTGTTTCTGGACTCTGTCTGTACCCACCACTAGAGTGCCACCTCACTGGGTCACCTCTTAGGAAGGTGATGGTACTGTCTTAAGACTGCCCTTTCCCTAGCAATTCTTTATTGCTGGTTTCCGGGAAAAACTGTTGTGTGTAATATAAATATCCCTGATGACTTCCTCTTGCCTCTGAAAGCACCAAGCTCAAATTATTTTTTTCTAAAGTGACAGGATAGTACCAAACAGGAAAGCATTTTAACCCTGTCTCCATGCATAAGCCCTTGTGGCTTTATCTTCTCCTCTTCCTACAGTCCTTGGYGTTGGGCAGGGGCCAGGTAGGAAAGGTGCTGTAAGACCATGGAGCTGCCAGAGGGGAAAGGGGGCTGCAAAAGGTTATGCTGACAGCACCCTCACCACTGGGCAGGATCAAGGGACAGCAGTGTGTGTGTTCCCTTTATGAGCTGTGTCCTGCACTTGAGTGCTGCCAAAAGCCCCTTGCAAGCTCCAGCAAAAAGTGTGACAAGGAGCAAGGGGTCCCTCAGGACACTTTTGGAGGTGCCATCGCCTGCAGTGGTCTTCTCCCATGCACAGGCTTGCAAGTGGCTGAATAGGCGTTCTCTTCCCCTGGTTCCTTGGGGTTTGTGTTTATTTCAGTCACGCACTCTAGTTTGCTCTACCTTACTGATTCTCCTTCCCACACCCCTCTCTCTCCTCACAGGGCTTCCTCGCATTTCTGGCTTTCCGGAGACTCGGAGACATTAATTTTCAGGAGGAATACAATACCCTGTTCCCTAACTCCCCATCCTTGCTGCCTTAGTGCCCCTTGCTGATGGGAGAAGTTGGGGGAAGGGGTGGAGGGATGCAGCTGGAGGAGGTCACTGAGGAGAGCTGGTTCCAATGCCTTTACTATGAGTGTGTGATCACTGCAGGGCTTGGGATGGAAAGATATGGGCCATTGAATTAGAGAGGGCTTGTCCACTAAATGAGGCATCTCCCTCTGGAGAATTGGAACTGGCAATTTCTTCTCCTCTTCTGCTCCCTTCTCTCCCTCACCCATACACTAACTAATGCTGTGTAACACCACTGTGCCTTTTTTTGATGACTACTCAGACCTAATACTACAGCCAGGAGATGCCCTCTGTCCCCACCATTTTATCTCTTCCATTTTTTCCCAGACCTCATTCTCCAAAAACCTGTTTCCCATCACCTGCTAGACTGCTCACCTCTCTCAGGGATGTTCTGGGACAATGAGCCATGCCTGCTGAGCCCTATGCCCAGGCTCCCCCAGTCCACCAAAAGGTACCCTGGTCTGGGAAGCAGCTTGCTGTTCCTTCCCAAGGTCTGTGTTACACCTTGTGGGTGTTGACTGGTAAAGGGGTTACAGGGAGTGACCTCTACCTCAGTACTCAGAGGCAAATCCTGCTCTCCTTACTGGCCTTTATGAGCCAGATGTCCTCTGGTTCATGCAGCCCAGCAGCCGAGCCCTGTGCAGTGTTGCCAAGACAGATTGCCTTCCCAAAGCCAGGAGGGGCTGTCTGGGCCATGCCAACTGAGCCTSTGTGGCCTGTGCAATATTGGTGAAACCCCACCGCCAGACAGGAGCTGCCCTGCACATCCCAGAGAGAACGGGGAGCCTTGGCAGGCTGCACACAGCCAGCTGGACTCACAGCCATCCCTGTCCAGTCCTCCTCTGTCCTGGCGGGCTCATGCTTTCTGTGGGACAGTCTGGACTTCTGTGCTCTTGGGGCTTTTTACCGGTGGTTTGCCAGGYGGGCCTTGCACACTAATCCGTAACCATTACTAACCCCACTTTTGTTTGTTTCTCTTTTTCGGTACGTTCCCCTTCTTTTCCCTCTTCCCTCCCCTCTCTGCTTCCCATCTCTTCCCTCCACCTCCTCCCTTAAAGGTGGGCCAGGCATTCCTGGCGTATCAGCGTTTCCAGCTGGGTGCCGATTCGGCCCTCTTCTCCCAGGACTACATGGACCCAAGCCAGGACTCCGGCATGCCTTATGCTCCCTACACGAATGAGGAGGATGCTACAGATGCGGTGGGGACATACCAGCAGCCCCCTCCAGCAGATGCTTTCGACACCGAGACACAGGGGTACCAAACGCAGAACTACTGAGCCACCAATGCCCCTTTCCCTTCCCCTTTCCCTTCTGCCCCCTTTCCCACTGCCGGCAAAAAGCCGAGGCACAAACAAGACACGTGCATAGTGGTACAAGAGGTGGCTCTCAGCTATGCTCCAGCCTTCTGGGTCATCTGTTTTTATTTATTGTTTTTAAAAAAGGAAAAAAAAAAGGAAAAAAGGTTTCCCCATCACCTCTTCCTTTTCCTCTCCCACCAAGCTACCTGCCAGAACCAAATTTTTTCAAAATCTGCATTTTGACAGGAAGGTCCCCATTTTCCTCCTTTCCCTCCTGCCTTGCTGCAAGAGGGCAGAGTCTGTCTGGTAGACAGTCTCTCCTGGTGGACAGAAGAGGAGCTATGGCACCGGCAGAGCAGGTGTTGGAGGCAGAACAGAAGAAATGAGAGGGAGAAGAGGTAGTATCACTAAAGGTTGGAGCAGATGTGGGAGTATCCAAATTGGTCTGGAGCACCTGGTGGCTCAGGGAGGGGAACAGTGTTGGAGTCAGCATACAAGAGTGTGAGGAGGGGCCTGGAGGACAGAAGGAATGGCATTCTCCATGTAAAGATGGATCTTTTCCCTGCCACATGCTAGTGAAGGAGTGGTGCTGCTTTATTTTTAGAGAGTTTGGGAGAAGTGGTATTGGGGAGGGGGAAAGCACAAGGAGAGAAAATGGGGAAGGGAAAAAGGAAGATTTGCAGGTACAATCAGGAATCACAGACATGTCTCTAGGTTACAGCAAGAGACTGAGCAGAGCAGAGGGGTAGTGCCCTGAGATTCACTTATTCCTTGGCCCCCTTGGATTGAGGTGGAGCTGAGTCCCTTTGCGTGTATGTGCTGCTAGTCACTGCTCTTCTCAGACCAGTGTTTGATGAGGCAGGAGGGGAGCCATGTCCAGTCCCTGGTCCCAGATACAGTGCTTGTGGAAGGAAGGATTGAGGAGGTGGGCTTCTAGAGAGCCCTGAGAGCCTTCAACCCCAGCTAGGCCGGTTTGAGGGGAGCTTTGTCATTGCACCCAGGGTGGGAGGAGAAAAAAAGCAGTTTTGCTCCTCAGGTCTTGCTGAACCTTCCTCTGTTCCTCTGTGTCTTTACAATAATGCAAAGCCTCTTGCTGACACCATCTTTGTAGCACATAGGAATGGAGCAGGACCCCACTTAGAAGGAAATATTGCTGCTGGGATGGCCAGTATGCGTCTATCTCTTGCACAGGGGCGCAACCAAGCAGGGAAGAGTCCTGCCGTGCATGGCTGTGCTATGCCTCCCACTCAGATGGGAAGGAGATCTTGGTGTGCAGAGAACTGGTTGGAGCCAGACTGAGTTGTCTGAAAACTGGTCTTTCTGTACTTGCCATAGGCCATAGCTTAGTGCTCTTCTGCGGCATCTCAGAACTTGCCTGACTTTAAAGCCTCRCCTAGGTGGCAGCAGTGACTCTTAGATAGAGCTGGTATGGGTATCATTCCATGCCCTTCATGATTTTGCTYCAAGTAAAGACACAGCTGTGGAAGCCCACTCTCTGTTCCAGGTTAGAAATTAAGTCTGTGCGCGAAGATAGATTCCTAGATTTCCCCTAAATGGAAATAATTCAGCAATAGCTACCTAGACAATTCTCTCAGGCACAGACACCACTCAGAGCACAAGAAGCAGGGTTTACCTTGCAGAAGTGAGGAGCTTCATCCCCCAGGCAGCCACCGTGCTTGATGCAACASTGGTCCCAGCAGAGATCCAGAGCAGATCCGAAACCAGTAAGTGCCCACACTGCACATCCAGCCTATTCCTCATGGTGCCCTTAGGAGTGGGGAGAATGGGACACATTCTGGCCTGTGGCTGTGTGAACATCTCATCTGGAGGACACCGAGATTACCAGTCCTTCCCTCCTCCCAGTGTCCCACAAAGATTGGGAAGAGGTAGAAACTGTAGAGCAGCCGGCCCTCAGAGGGAAGTGGAGCAGTGTTCTCCAGTGTATACAGGTACTGTTTCTCCCTGTTCCTACCAGCACACTTGTGTGTGTCCCCTTGGCTTGGCCTTCCCAGGTTTGCCCCACCTTGCTGGTGGTTATCCACTGGTGAGGACAGGAGCGGCAGAACAGGTAGCTGTAAGGACTCAGCAGAAATGACTGGGCACACATCCCTTGCTCTGTAGCTATGAGTGAATGCAATACTGTAAATAGGAGGGGTGTTTGTTGGAAGGAAGCCCCTCGAGCTTCATTTTATGTGGGCGCAGCCTAATATTTAGGCTTGGGACAGGTTTACTTTATTAAGAGAGGCTTGTTGTGACTGGATATGGGGGGAGCACCCTCCAGTCTTTCTCCCACCAGGGGAGAAGAACGAATGAATGACAAGGTGGAGGAGGAGAGAAATCAGTTGTACTCACCCAGCCTCATCTGTGTCATCCTTCTTGCTTTCATTTGGGTTGTGGGGAGGGAACCAAGAGGAAGAGGAGGCTATGAATAACCAGCTCTCAGTACAAAAATGTGTTGTGTCTTTTGGGAGGTCTCTTCTCCATGAGTGACCAGGCACATAAGGAGAGGTACAGACAGTATGTGGGGCATCTACCTGGGGCTCTCTTTTGGGGTGTGGTGCAGGAGCATCTTGCATGCCCCTTCTCCCATCAGTTATGTAGGTGGCTGAACATCATTTGGGGCTGACTAATGAGCAAGCTTTTCTTAATCCAATTTGGCTTGCTTCCCTCATGTAACCAGCTGATGGGCTTAGGTGGGCTTGAAGCAGGAATGAGCTTCCCCCTCAGAACCAGCACTTCAGTGAGACATGAGCCAGGTGGCTTCATCTTGAGCTAYTTCCCATCTCTCTGTTGTTCTCCTTGCTTTGTGTCATAAGAATAGCATTAATGTCACAGGGGACACTACTATAGTAGACACTTAGACAGCTTCTTACTTTTGCTCATGGGAGAAGACATTACTCCGTTTGCCTTTGCAGTGGAGGGTTGGTGGTGACAGACCTGGGAGTGGGACTCTTCTTGTTTGCATGTAGCCCTTTAAAGGCAAAATGCAATTTCCAGTGTCATTTTCTGGTTCTGCAGCTGATGAGACATACAGATCTACCCAAAGGGCTGGTTATCTTATCTTAGGTGCTTCTGATAAGGTGCTGCCAATTTCTGGTGGTCATAGGCGAGACCGGAGCAGCTGACTGGAACATGTCCCTTTTACATTCTAAGTGTGGGTGAGATCAGCCCCACTATAGAGATTAGGAGATCAGAGGGAAGCTGTGTAAGCAAAATTATAAGGCAGCTTTCTTCCTCCTCTGCCATTTGTTCAGATTATAGAGTATTACGCATTACAATGGTCCCTTGATGTCTTCTTATCTTGCGAAGCCCCCAAGTAAGAGACTTTTGTGGAAGCAGAGGCTGTGAAGGGCAAACAGATGATGAAATCTTGCCCAAGTTCTATCTGTGGCTTCAGCCTCCTRATGTGTCCCCATCCCTTTCTCACCCATATCCCCACCATCCTGTTCATCACCTCATCAAACACCCTTCCTCTGCATTATTCCTGGCAGTTCCCTCAGGGGAGGAGGTGTCTTTGTCCCTGTACTCTTGCAAGCACTTGGGAGGACCCAGGAAGGCAGCATTGCAGGGTGGTTCCCATAGGAGTGTCAGCTCCCATCCCAAGAGCAGGTACAAGGTAAGGAGCCCAGTGAGGCCACCTCACTCAGCAAGTTCAAACCATCCATCCAGACAACTCCCTGCTGCCTGTGTGGCATTTGTAACATCACCTGGGCTGCCCTGCCCCTTCCCCTGCCACATTACTGCCTGTGTATAGTATATATATTATATATATATATATTTAAAAAGATGTATAATATAAAGCTATACATATATACGTATATATGATGACTCATGGATGGCCTGCCGCATACAGGATCCTCTGAGTGGTCTTGTCTAAGCCCGAGTGTTCCTTCACCCCTCCTCCCCTTGCCCCTGCCCCTGTCCGTTCCGAAATTCAACTACAGCGAACCCCGCCACCTCGGCACCTGTGTTTACAATGTCCTATATATTTGTGGTTAACAAAGTGAAGGTGGTAACTACTGGTGTCTCAATAAAGTTACAACGTTCAAAATAACCATACTGTATGGAAAAAAATTGTGTGGATTTTCTTATTTGGGAAGGGATGGCTTTTTTATCTTGGTTTGCTACAAGAGCATTGCTTCATGCTCCTGCATGGCCAAGCTGGCAAATTTAGTGACTATCAGTGGCTTGAATGGAGGAAAGAAACCTAAATAACTGACCTTATTGATGTGTTTCAGTGGGAGCTAATTATAACTTGTCTTACTTGGCCTRAGTTTCAAATAACACACACCATCAAGTGTCTCTCACCTAATTGGTAGGAAAATGTGAGGAACCTGACATGCCATGTTAGAAGTAGACTCACACTGTGAAAAGGATGTGGCAATAGGAGGTGTGGATGGGGTACTTACAGGAATGTAGGATACAAACCTATATGAAAATAAACAGCTGTATTTCCACACCCAGGGAAGCAGATCTGTTTAGTCCTTTGATGTGTCTTTATCTCTATTCATCTATGTGTGACCATTGCTCGGGTGTCTGGTATACTGCAGGTTTTCAAAACATAATCAGATCCTGGAAAATGAGCTCTCAGGGCACTGCCGACAGTGGGTGCCAGTGATTGGTAGCCCACCACTGAAAAGGATCTTGTTTCAATATGATTTGAAATAAAAATGAAATTCAAAATCCCATCCTGTGCTGATGATTAGCTAAAGCTTCCTTCTCATCCCTTTTAATGAGTCTGTCACCTGAGTACCTGAGTATCACATTTCCCAAYTCTTGTAGGATTTGAGGACAGTAAGCAGAGGCACATGATGGTGAACAGGCTCTAGCCAGTCCTCCAAACTTGCTTCCCTCTTGGGGACACAACTGAGCACACGCTGCAGCTGCGCATCAGRTTATATGCAAAAGTATTGGTGGACCGATCCATCTGTTTCATGATTAATCTTTGTTTGGACAAAGACCCTTCCAACAGTCACAGCTTTTGGGGTGGATGTGTTGTGGAGATRCCAAGCCCACAGAGAGGCAAATGTCTGTGTTGGCAACAGGTGGAATTAAAAACTTGTGAGACAAGATGTTGCCAAAAGCAAGCATTTCAAATTAATAGGACGCCAACATTACTAGTTTGTGTTTTCTAATASTTTGAAATCTCTTTAATTTTGCTTTCTGGTCTTTCAAATGCTTATGAGTCATGTTTTGAAGCTTCTCCCTGCAGCCATGACATCTAGAAGCAGTTCTGTGATAAAGTTGGTTTTTTTTTTTTTTTCACATAATCCCAGAACTCAAGGAGATAAAATTTTAGTGTGTCAGGGTATTAAATAAAATTATATGAAACAACCCTGTTCCCTCTGTGAAAAATCCAGCTGGCCTAAAACTGTAGAAGCTCTGTTTTGCAGTGGTATTTGACTCTCTTGCGGGGATCAGCACACCCTCATCATTCCCCCTTTCTCTGGCAGTAGCTCTTCACATTGGCTCTCCAACTCTCAGAGGGTGCTGGGGGGAAGAAATCTGTTGTTTCCAGCTTTCCTTCCTTATACTTGTTCTTTCAATTGCCCCATCTTATTTCTCTGCCCTTCCAGCATGCCTGGAAACAGTGACCTATAAAGAAGTGAGGAGCATTAGGGCAGCTGTACCTGTGGGAAGCATCTACCTGGTCAGGGTAGATGAGGTGACCTCAGGGTGAGCTGTGTGAGGCTTCACAGTGCCACCTCTCCACCATCCCTTTTCTGTCTGCCGTAGGAGCAGAGCAAGTATTGCAAGCTGGCTTTGTCAGAGAGACCCTTTTTTTCCATGTCACCTCCTACAAGCTTTGCTAAAAATCACTACTTGTCTTTCCAGCCGCAGCCTCTGTTATCATCAAAACAGAAAAAAAAAAAATCTCCCTAAACATATCTCACAAATGATCAGTAGAGAGTAACTAAATGATGTGATGGCTTCTGCTGGCAAWCCAATAAATGCTTCTGGGTTTCTGGGCGCCTACAAGAGCATTGTGCCAGGGCTGCCCCAAGCTCCCTGTTCCCCATGGCATGTTGTTCAGTCATGCTGTTCATCTTTCATCCAGCAGCCRAGCAGTGTCCATGCTCCTTCCTTTCCTTTCAATAAAAATAGGAATGCAGCTGTACAGCTTTGCACCAGAATACTGTGTGTATAATCCCTAGCACYGGGGACAGAGAAAATTGGAGAATAATTACAAAAAGAGGGAGGAATGAGAAGAGAAGGGAGAGCTGTGTATCTGGTAGCCACTGAATCATATAATTCATTTACTTGTGYATGGATGGTGAGGTTCAGTGACCAATATCCTGCATTCCTGAGGAGATTTTGGCTGCATGGGAATACAGCATGGCAATTTCTGAGAGGATTTGCAAAAAGTGAGAAGCATAAATAAAGGTTAAAATAAGCTTGATCAACGCAGTCAACATAAACTCAGTGCAGTATTTCATCTTCCAAGTGCTGCATAAAGCTTTCRGTGAGCAGACGTTCACAGAGCACCTCACCAGCTTCTGTAACACTTTCCTTTGGAGGACTGTGAAATGCTGGACAAACATGCTTTAAATGCTGCAAATGGCCTCGTTAGCTAAATTCTACTATTCACTTTTTTCCAGGCCAAGCACTTAATTGACTCACTCAAGGTTAGGGCAGAAGCTCAGTGGCAGAACCACAGGAATATCCAGGCAGAATGTGGCACAAGTATTTACACCAAGAAAAAATGCTTTGTGCCAGGTCTGCATTCCAGCACAAACTGGCAGAAAAAAAAATAAACCCAAATGACAAAGATTAGTGACTATGAGCTGAAGCCAGATATTTAAATTATGAACAGGACACATTTTTAACTGGAAGAGGTGACAAGCCATTGTACAAACAACGAAAGTGGCAGATTTTCTATCTTGTATCTTTAGGAAAGTTGTTTTGCTCTCTCATTGAGTTCACATTCTGCCTTATTGCACTCTCATGCAGACTCTGCTTCTTGTTAATCTCAAAAGGACTCACTTCTGTGAGTGTGTCAGAAGAAGACAGAAATGACTCCTGAATTCCCAGTCCTGCAATGTAATACATGCTGACAGGCTCTGGGTGCACCCAAAGCCTTGCTGATTTCAGTGTCGCTCTGAGCAAGGACAGAGTCTGACTGTGCTCATCAAGGTGCATGAGTGCAACCTTCAATGGCATTAAATAACCATAAGCTGCTGCTGTAATGCTGAAAAACTGTCATCCTGTTTTAAAGCAAAGACACTTGCCTGTAGCTTTTTAATGACACAGACAATGCTGTGCTAGGCACTTTTCTGCAGCACCAGGAATTCTCCTTTTTATACTGGCAAGAAAACAAATCTTTGTCAGCACTAAATCTGTCCATCCTACTTCTAATACTGACTTCAAACCTATTCCTATAATTATTTGTACCTATTCACAGCTTCAGCCGCAAATACTCTCAATGAATATTCTCAGTAAAATCATTGAGACCAAGTTTATACTGAAGCCTAAGCCTGAGGAAACTTGTTTGTAGACCCAGGTTCTAAATTTAGCATTTTCTTCTATCTTTGCAAATTATAACCTTTAAAAAAATAGTTCTGCCTATTTTCCTAACTCTGTTTGAATGTCTACATTTGTGAGCCTTGCATGAAGGGGAAGGATCTGTAATCTGTATATTTTGAAGAAAGAGATGTCAAAAAACAATAGACAAAGGACTTACAGGAAAGGAAGCTGGAATCCTCTGGCAGAAACCCCTGCAGCAAAAGATATTATTCCATAGAATGGGGTTAATTAACTGGCAATTATTTTTGAAGTGCATCTAAATCAAATATATGTGCCACAAAGATGTCACTATAAGATTATCAAACCACTGCTGGAAGTCAAGATGATTTTGACACTCCCATCCTCACCACAAGTGCATTGCTACCCATGACTGAAACTGCACGTCTCTCATGTTGGAGCCCCTGCAGCCACAATACACACAGGGAAACACACGGGGCTCTTTCCCAAGCTGCCACTGCCACAGCCTGACTGCTGGACATCACTCACATTARGATAATGCCATTCACACTCCTGGAGGGCTCTTCTCCTGACTTACAATATTGAGAAAGCAGTGAGATTGAATCTCATGTCTTCCCTCCTCCTCCAGCTGTGCTGATTCAATGGAAACAGCCTACGTTTGCCAAGAAAGGATCTTAAACAAGAGCAAAATCAGTGATCTCTGATTTTGTCTATATTGCTCAGGCAATATAGACAAGTGATTTCACTGTTTTTTCACTGTTTCAGTGACTACCAATAACTGTTCCAAACTGCAGTGAGTATTAAGAACCACTTGCCATCTGTTCTAGACACCTTCCTACTGCTGCCATGAGGGCATGGTCCAACTACATCCTTGTTATGGCCGGCAAAAGAGAGAGAGAAAGGGTAAGAGACAGACTCTAAGCTGAGACATGGATGCCATGGATGTGGTGTCTATACAACAGGATACAGCTGAGAGCTGGTACCTGGGCTGAGTCTTCCCTAGAGGTTGCTTGGAACATGATGCACTCCTAAGAAAACCGCTTCAACACCAGGCTACCTCAGGGCTTTCTGGCACCCAAGGTGACCCGATTTAACAGGATCCAGGATTCACAATACCAAGTGCACCTTGAGTATTATGTTCAGTTTTGGGCCCCTCACTTTAAAAAGGACATTAAGATGCTGGAGCAGGTTCAGTGAAGGACAACAAGGCTTATGAGAGATCTAGAAAATATGTCCTATGTGAAACAGCTGAGGGACCCAGGTTTGTTTAGTATAAAGAGGAGCCTGGGGGGGGGGGGGGGACCTCACTGCTCTCTACAGTACTTGAAAGGAGTTTGTAGAGAGGTCAGGGCTGGTCTCTTCTGCTGTGCCTGCAGTGAGAGAACTAGAGGAAATGGCCTTAAGCTGAGACAGGGAGATTCAGATTAGATATTAGAATTTTTTTTTCCATTTTTATTGTGGTCAGGCATTGGAATAGGTTGCCCATGGAGGTGATGGATGAAACATCCCTGGCGGTGTTTAAGAGGCAAATGACTCTGGTGCTGGGTGATGGTGTTTAGGGCTTACAGTGGTAGTACTGGGTGGACAGTTGGACTGGACCATCTCAAAGGTCTTTTCCAACCTTGATGATCCCATGATTCTATAATCCTCACAACCCTGCCCCTCTTTCCTCCTCCTCCACAACACACGCTGGCAGTGGCGGTCAACAGGTGCTTGCTTCATTCTCACACACTTGAAGGCCACAGGTAAGAAATGGAGGTGTCTGCACTCTGCCTAGASCAGAAGGAAGATGTAAGGACAGTAGATTTCCCCGCACTCCGGCTCTGTGCGCTCTCCCTGCGGCCCCGCCCGGCACCGCCTCCCCCGCGGGCGGGGTCTGGGCGGCGCTGAGCGGGCCCGGCGCTGTGGCGGCGGAGGGCGGGCGGSATGAGGCCGCTCCCGCTCCAAGATGGCGGCGCAGAGGAGGAGTCTGCTGCAGAGTGTGAGTGGCATCTTCCCCCCCCTCCGTGCACACGCACCCCCCAGGTGGGTGCGAGGGAGTCCCCGGGCCTCCTCTTCACCCGCCCCCCGCGCAGCCGTGTGGGAAGGGGGAGGTCCCCCCCGCGGTGGGGGGTGGGTTGCTGCTCTCTCGCCCCCTGTGCCGCCTCRGGGCAGGGGATCCCGGTCTGTGGGGGTCCCTGCGTCGTCAGCGATCCGCACCCAGGGCGGTCCCGCTGCTCTGCAGCGCACGGTGGGCTACAGGTGTCTGGGGGAGGCCGTGCCAGCGCAGAGGGTTTCAGGGTACCTCGCTGTGTGAGGGGGCAGCTGGCGTCTGCAGGCCGAGCGGGAGATGGCGGCTCCAGGGATGTCTCGCTAATTGCTGACTGCAGCAGCAGGCCTCTGTCCCTTGTCCTGGGTGAGTAGTCCATCCAGCGAGAATCCAGAACTTTCCCCTGTGCACCCGTCCCACGGGTGCGTGAGGATCTGATTCACCATAGGAATAGCTTAAGCTATTGCTGTGCTGTATGGAGTGCAAAACTTGCATGCAAATTTCACTTCTGATTTCTTGTTAGCAAGAGCCGAAGTGTAGCTAGAGCTCAGCTTCAGGGARAAGTGATAAGTGATCCTGTTCTGCAGTGGGGAGATACGAAGTTATTGGCTGTGTTACTATCCTGTTAGCAAAGGGAGAAGGGTTGASAAGAGGATGGGGGTGGACCGGTAATCTGTACTGGATCACGATCCTGGCTTCAGGCTGCCTGGGGTTTACATGGTCTCTTTCCTCTTCCTCTCTGCCAGGAACAGCAGCCCAGTTGGACAGATGACTTACCATCCTGCCATCTCTCTGGGGTGGGCTCAGCTCCAAACCGTTCCTATAGTGCAGATGGCAAAGGGACAGAGGGTCATCCCTTGGAAGATAACTGGTTAAAATTCAGGTAAGTGGATTGCACCCGATTCCTGCTGGCACAAGGACCGGTAAAATAGGTATTTCATTTGTCATACAAGTCTTGGAAGAAGAGGGTGGGGCCTGAGCATGCAAGAGGTGTCTGTGGGAACATGCTACTTGTATCTGTGTCTACAGGCACCTGTGACCTCTTTGCTTCTGCTCTCTTGGCAGGAGTGAGAACAACTGCTACCTCTATGGTGTCTTCAATGGTTATGATGGCAACCGAGTCACCAATTTTGTGGGTCAGAGGCTCTCTGCAGAATTGCTACTGGGCCAGCTCCATGCTGATCACAGTGATGCTGATGTGCGTCGAGTTCTGCTGCAGGTAAAGAAGGTTTGAGTGGGAGCAGCTCTTGCTTCTTGCACTACCACCTCCGCTTTGCCATCAGGGGAGCAGCATCTGGTTTCTGTGGGGGTTGGAAACATCTGGTGGTTGCAGTTGCACTCATCCTGAGCATCTGTAGTGCTTTGTTTCACTCCCGCCTCATACCCATCTGTCCCCTGGCTGTGTTAGCACAGTGCTGAGAGCTCTCCAGGAAGCTGCAGCCAGTCTTCCCTGTACATGTAGGAACAAGTCAGCCTGTGAAAGAGATGACAGTGAGTGAAGGGGAGAAGTTAATGTGTGGGGAGATGGATTTGTGAGCATGTTTTCTTGAGTGACAGGATCAACACACAAGATCAGATAGGTCTCTGACATTACTGTGAATATAATTTTTATGGTGTTGTCTTCTGTTTTGAGTTGTTGAAGGTTGTTTTTACAAACTATTAACTAGTTGTGCTGAAACAATTGTTTTTATGTGATCCTGGAATGTCTGTATGTACAGAGATCATTCATTCTTATGAGCTGGTCTTAGAGAAGTGAGGATGGGTAGCCCCAAAGGTCTGTAGGCATTGGATAAGAGCTTAGTTTCTCTTCATGGCGTTTTTTAGGCTTTTGATGTGGTGGAAAGAAGTTTTCTGGAGTCCATCGATGATGCCTTGGCAGAGAAGGCCAGCCTGCAGTCTCAACTACCAGAGGTAATGTAATCTTAGAAGCAGAGATTGTTGAAGGGCCCACCTTCCAGATTCCTGGATGAGGTTTGGGCATATTAGTCAGTTTGGTCCAAGGGAGGCTGTAAGTGAAAGTTACTTCTCTGTGGTTCTCTTCTGGAAGCTTGCATGAAGTGAAGCAAGTGCCTTGGTCCATTTGCCAAGAGTTTCCAGTGCTCATACTGGCCTGCTTAGACCTGTCATTGGTTATCTGAGTGAGGAACTGAGAGTATCAGAGATGGCTCTTCCATGACAAAGCCATATAATGCAGATGAGAGGCAAGGGCTCAAATTTTGCATGGTATCTGGGCAAGTGTGGGCTCTATTCTTCAGGTATACTGGACTGTCCTCTTCAGAACCAAATCAAAGCTGTGTCATTTGCTAGGATTGAACAAAAATAGGTCTTGCACAGGCATGACACAAAGCTAAGACATGTCAAGATGAATCTCGTCCCTACAGAATTTTTATTCCAGATGTGATTTGTGTTTTGTGGAATGTGTGTTTAAGCTTCCCCCTCGTTTTGGGTTCCAGGGTATCCCTCACCACCAGCTCCCTCCTCAGTACCAGAAGATTGTGGAGAGATTAAAGGTTGTAGAGCAGGAGATCTCTGGAGGAGCCATGGCTATTGTGGCTGTCGTTCTCAACAACAAGCTGTATATCGCCAATGTGGGTGAGTTGTTTTTTGTCAGTGGCTCGGTCTCGGCATTTCTGTGGATGGCAGGGGTTCTAGGAAATAAAAGAATTTTGAATGTAGGGGATGGTTTCTTTGGTCTGTAGCCAAGCAGTGATATGCTTGCTACATATGCAAGCACTTGAAATCAGTCTGACTCTCTATCCCAACTCTCAACGCTCTATGCAGATGTTGGCTGATGTGGTGTGTATGGCAAAGAACAGAGGGGAAATGGGTTGAGGGGAGTAGTGCAGGTTCACTGAGAAATAGAGAACTTTCTTGGGAGGTATCGGCTCAGATCTGGATGAAGAGCTGCCTAGCAGGCCCACTATGCTGCTAGCAAGGCTCCTTTTTGGAGATCATGATGAGACAGTACATGAGCCTTTCTCTTTTCTGTCTTTATTCCCCTGTCTGTTCCTTTTCCCTTTGGATATGTTCTCCCTGTTAACGGCAGAGCTATCTGGTGCCTCATCTCGCTGCTCCCACTGCAGGTACCAATCGGGCACTGCTTTGCAAGTCCACAGTGGATGGGCTGCAGGTGACTCAGCTCAACGTGGACCATACAACAGAGAATGAGGATGAACTGTTTCGCTTCTCTCAGCTGGGTGAGTATTTGGGTTTCATGTTCTTAGCTGAAAATATCGCATGACTGTTTTTCTGGGGCACCAAGAATGACTCAAGCCACTGGAACAATAAATAACCACAAAAAGAAGCTTGCTGTGTTTTCAGATGACAAGTTCAGTGCCTTCTTTTTTTGCTTTTCTGACCATTCTGAGGCCATAGAGGAGTAAGCTCATCTCACTGACCCTGCAGAAAACTATGCTTTTGTTTCGAGTTTTGAGTGTTGGTTTTGTGTCCAGCTGCCAAACTGGCATTGATTTGCCCTCCAGCTGTTGCTGTAGTCAATAGGAAGGCAGGAGTGGAAGCACAGAGCCAGAGGGTAGAATTGAAGCGGACAATGTATGATGGCTTCTGTGGCGGCAAACCGTAGTTACGCTGCTTTAAGTCCTGTGTGATGCCTCACCCTCAGGATGGTACTTTTCAATATGCCTTTGTACAAGCTGCTGCTGAAAAAAAMCAGCTTCACTTCAGACAGAGCCAGGCCAAGCACTGGCATTTACGGCTCTCACATCAGTAACTATTGAACTCTTAATGCTGACATTTTGCTGTAGGCAATTTCTCTTCTCCTTTACAGTGTTTGACATGTTTTCTTTCTTGGTCTAGAGCTAACCCAGACCACTTGTTTGATTGCTAGTACCAAATTATTGAGATACTTGGGTCCTGTACTTCTATGTAGGTAGACATAAGGTGGCATTCTTCATTAGATTCATGTGACAGGTGTATTCCTAGCTGATGAGGCTGTTGATGTGGTAATTTCTGCTGCTAGGTCTAACTTTATTCTATTTTTCTTTCATTCCCACTTTTACTTCTGCACTAGGGATATGTGCTGTGAAACAGAATACTGAATACAAGAATCCAGGGAAAGAGACTTTTGGACTGTGTTTTTACTGCTAAAAATGCAGAATTTAGCTGCAGTCCATAGGCGAGCAGGGATCTGTTAGATATATCAGCCTTAACTTGGCACAGCACTGGTGCTCTGCCTGCAGTCCCAGCAGAAGGAAGATTGTGTAGAACAAGACTGTGTGCACAGGCTGTTTTGGGGGCCCAAGGGAGGTTGTTGTAGGGCTAGGTTGAAGGACAGTGATATGGGGTAATGGGGATAGCATTTGCCATGATGGTGCCTGTGCCACCCCTGACTTGAGGGAAGGCTGGGAGAAGTCTTGTGCCTTTGTGGTTCTTCAGGCAGCACATCACAGCTTGTTCAGTGCACTGGGAGAGTTGCTGTGATTTAGACATGACCCCTCTGGCATCCTCTGAGCCTCCCTGTGTTTCTGTCTGTCCACGGTGTGTACCTCCCAGCTCCTCCAGGAGCTGGCAAATGAGCCAGGCCATGTTGATGAGTCAGCTGTGGTCTGCAGCAGATGGAGGACTTGTGTCTTACTGCTGAGGTAGGTGTGGAACCATCTGTGCAGTGAGGCTTGGCTTGACTCAAAAAGAGAGTTACAGCTGGACCCCCACCTTYACCTTGTACTGAGGACAGTTATCCCTAGATAAAATCTCAATGATTTCTGGCTGATAGCTCTAAGTATAATGAGGAAAGGGGTTTGCCAGAACAGACCTGGTAAGYAGCTCATCTGCTCTTAAGTCCTGTCTCAAATAGCTGCACTCAAATGGTCCCTATTAGAACCTTCTTCAAGACGGGATTACTTCCTAGCCCCTGCCAGAGGTATATCCCCAAAAGTTTGTTTAAATAAATACTTGCTTGGTCATTGTTTTTATTTTAGGAGTAGCCCAGATTAATTTGAGCACTTGAGCAAATTCAGTGCCTCTTGTAGATAGTTATCCTTTTCTCAGAATCACAATATGGGTAAGGTTGGAAGGGACCATAGGGGGTCATCTGGTCCAAGCTCCTTCTCAAGGAGGGTCATCCCAGAGCACATTGTACAGGTACTTGAATATCTCCAGTGAGGGAGATTCCACAGCCTCTCTCTGCAGTCTAATATATTAGTGAAATTACCAGGTGGAGCTTATGAGCAGGGGTCAGTAATAGGTGGAACAAAAAGCATAATCTTTCACATGTTTACCTTGTTCCTGCCTTCTCTTCCCTTCACACAGTCGAGAGCTGAMAGGTGCAGATGTTCCCCTGCCTTTTCAGCACATGCCTGTGCACCAAGGCCTATTGCTGCCCGTGGCTTTGGACCAGGATGTGGGTGTTGTCTCAGGGCCAACTGTTGCAGAGTATGCCTGTTGGCTGTGCGTGTCTCCCTCCTCCTCTCTCCTTCCCAGCTTGGAACTAATAAACACTAATAAAAAGTTTGGTGTCCCTTGAACACTCCAAACTGCTAYTCCTTTTCTCCTTGTTTAGCTCCTGATGATTCTTTGGCTTCTTGTCTTAGAGTTTTGTGTAGCTGTCGATACTTCTTTTCTCAGAGGAAGTTCTGCAAATTTCACAAAGTTAATGGAACATTTTTTGTTTTCAATCTGGCAGGCTTGGATGCAGGGAAAATAAAACAAGTGGGAACGATTCGTGGGCAGGAAAGCACTCGGCGCATTGGAGATTACAAAGTTAAATATGGCTATACTGATATTGAACTACTCAGGTCAGAAAAATTCAACTTTAAGGTTTCAAGCCCACCTTTTTTTCATGATCACTCCATTCTCACCTGCTGTGTCACCCTTAAATACCAAATTGCTGTCTCTTTCCAGTGCTGCTAAATCTAAGCCCATCATAGCAGAGCCTGAGATCCATGGAGGGCACTCACTGGATGGGGTGACTGGCTTCTTGGTGCTCATGTCCGAAGGGCTCTACAAAGCGCTGGAGGCAGCTCATGGGCCTGGGCAGGCCAACCAGGTGAGCCTGCTCACAAGGGAAACTTTCCCGTGGCTATTGACTCACTCCAACAGTGTCAGCTCGTACAGGCTGAACTCATCTGTCCTGTCAGTGCTGGCCAGGTTGAATGCCTGTGCCACCCCATTCCAGTCTGTAATGATATGGGAGTTGCTTTGCCAAGCCAGTTCTTCTAGGCAGCTCCCTGTCCCTTAGCAGTAGCCCATTAAAGGGAGTGGGATGACTCAAGGTACAAAGACACATTATCAGCAGGTGAGACAGGCAAGCATCACAGTTTGATGAGTTGCCATAAAAACTCTTAGATGGCAGGAAAAGGTTTCCTCCAAAACATCTTTCCTCTAGTGATTTTTTTTCCCCTTCTCTGCTCAGGAAATTGCAGCCATGATAGCCACAGAATTTGCCAAGCAGACATCGCTGGATGCTGTGGCACAAGCAGTAGTGGACCGGGTCAAGCGCATTCACTGTGACACTTTTGCCAGTGGTGGGGAACGGTCCAAGTTCTGTCCCCGTCACGAAGACATGACGCTGCTTGTGAGGAATTTTGGGTACCCCCTGGGTGAGATGAGCCAGCCCACGCTGACACCAACACAAGGTGTGTTGGGGGGAGATTGAAACAAAATGGGGGGAGGGAGATAAGATCTCTTGATTGATCCAGCGTTCACCTCATATTGGGAGAGGAGGTAGTTGGTGTAGAAGGAGTTTTCTTATTAAACAGATTATTGGCTTTTGAGATGTGAAATCTGTGACAATTTGACAGGATACAGTACAGCATCTAAGAAAGGCACTTTGATATAAATTCTTGGGGTTTTTTGCCTGCTGTGCTGCACCYCCAGTTGCTCATGTCTGACCTGCATTTGATAACTCATTTTCTTCCTTCTCAGGAGGCCGTGTCTACCCAGTCTCTGTGCCGTATTCCAGCTCCCAAAGCACAAGCAAGACAAGTGTCACTCTGTCTCTTGTCATGCCTTCCCAAGGCCAGATGGTCAATGGTGCCCACAGCAGCTCAACTCTGGATGAAGCCACCCCCACCCTCACTAAGTAAAATCCTGCTCTCTTGCTACCCAGAGTTTTTCCCTGCACCTCACACTGTGTAAAGTGGCTGAAAAGCAGAGAGAGACAGCTGTCAGTTACCTGTCAATCATTCCCTTATCTGGAACATGCCCCCCGYTACAGTATTGACAGCCAGCATAATGTGTTAGCTGGAAAGAGATTGTGTGAGGAGTGGGAATGAGTGAAGCAACAGCTCTGAAGCTCTGGCGACATGCCTTGGTAGCAGCATCTGCTGCTGTTCGTGGAGGGCATTCAGGGAGTGAGCAGCCCTTCTCTTTGGATCTTGTGTGCCAAGTGTGTTGGGTGCTGTGCACAGAGGGAGTGGGGGWGCCCTTGATTTTAGTGAGGAAGAGGGACTGTGGAGGTCACCTGTAAAGCTGTTGGAGAGGCTGCGCTGCTGGATTTGCTTACAGGCAGTACCCAGGAAAAAAAAAAAGTGGATAAAGCTTAGAACGTGGTCCTCTTTGGATCCCCTTTGCAGGGTCATACTAGTTAATGGCTATGGTTTAGGTTGAGCCTTTGGCACAGGGTGATGTGTACACTCTGCACAGTGAAGAAGCACTGTGGGTATTGTGCTCTCTAGCTCCAGAAACAATGAGTCTGACGCACTAGAGCTGCTTTGGCTGCAGCACAGGTCATGCAAGAATAGTTTTCCTTGCTGCCAGACTCTTCCTGTAAAGCTCGTACTGTTCTGTCTATGGGGAGGCCAGCAGAGTGCATGCCTTTTTTTTCTGCTTCCTCTCTGTTCCTCAGATGCCTGGTTGCACTTAAGGCCTTACAGTTAATGTGAGTCAGATACCTTTGATGTCGGTCAATTCCATTCAGTTTTCAAAACTTGTACTGCACTCATGCAGCAAGTGACTGCAACTTTTTACCTGTCTGCTAGGATAGGTTGATCTGTGAAGTAACTGGTGCTTGTTCTGGTGCTTTTCTTGTTCAGTGCATCAGGTGGAGAAGAATAAAGATGTTTATGTTCTCTTTTTCCCTCCTTAGCCAAAGCCCAACTGTGACGCTGCAGTCAACCAATACTCACACGCAGAGCAGCAGCTCAAGTTCAGATGGAGGTCTCTTCCGCTCCCGACCCACYCACTCGCTCCAGCCAGATGAGGATGGGCGTGTGGAGCCCTACGTGGATTTTGCAGAGTTTTACCGGCTTTGGAACATGGACCATGGCGAGCAGGGAGCACTGACTGTGTCTTAACATGTATCTGCCTCCTGCAGCCACCTTGTGCTCAGCTGTGTGAGCAAAGACTGAGGCAAGAGTGAGAGTGTGCCACTGAGGGCTGCGTTCTGCCCAGAGCTAACTCCTATCCAGGATGTGCTGGACACTGGGAAGGAGATCTTGTGCACTACACACGTGTTACCTGTGCCATGCTCCCAATCCTGACCTGTCATGGGAAGCCCTGTGAATAGGGGAAGGGGTCTTGAATGCAATGCCCACTACAGGTTTTTGCAAATAAAGGTGCAGAGAGGGCTCCTTGTGGATAAGGCAGGAGTCGGGGCCTGTACGAAGGTTGCGTGTGTGCGCGTGTGTAGGTGTAAACGTGTGTGCCTGCGTGTGTGTGTGTATGTGCTGTCATAATGTTTCCACAACTCAATTCATAATGCTGTGATTCCAGTGTTCAACTCCATAGAAGATACCTCTATTTTGCAGAATAAATAACTTATAGCTACAGTCATTGGCACCTCTGTGGCTTGCTCTCTTCCWTATAATGTCATGTGTGGGTGTGACAGCACCTCTTGGGGAAACCTCCTGTTCCTCCAGAACAGGTTTCACCTTACAGCAGGAAAGCTGCTGAAAAAGTGACCTCAAACCTTGCAACTTAAAAGCATAAGCACTTTGTTTACTTATTTGCTGGGCTTTGGCACAGAATTATGGCTCGGAGTCAAACGATAAATTTGGGTTATTGTTTTCTGTAGGTAAAATGCACATTGTTTCCCTTAATGCAGGCCATCTGGAAAGTTGTAGAGGGCAGGCGGAGTTTGTAATGCAGTTTCCCTGTACAGGCACCTGGTAGTGCACATCTGGAAGTCACAACTCTCYCGTGGTGCCTTAAAGATGCAGATGAGCACCCTCCCATCAGTGCAGGCATGAGGGGAGAGGTCCTGCTGCCTGCACACCCGGGTGAGCCCAGGCCTGGACCTGCTGCCCGAGGCGTCGGGATCACGGCCATCTTCCTCTTGAGTTCAGATTTCTGACGGCAGGCGGCAAGCGAGGCTCTTCCCTCTCTGCTCCAGCCGTCCCCTCAGCCTGCGACGCTCCCCGCGAGCCTTTCCCCGGCAAACACGGGAGGCCTCGGGGGTGAACCGCAGCACTCAGCACCTCGGGGAGTTGTGATGAGGCACCAGGCAAAGCCATGAGAGGGCTAGAGGGGATTAGAGGAGATGGGGCAAGAGGAAGAACTGCCCGGGGTTCCTTCCTGTGTTAATTTTTGCATCCAGATTTGTCACTTTAGAAAGAATGGGAGGGGATTAGGATGGTGTAGCAGGGGATGCTGTAGTTAAGGCCGGTGTGTAGACAAGCCCTGATGTGTGCAGGTTTGAGGCACTTGTGGCATGCCAGCCTGGAAAGTAGGAGAGGGGGATTTATCCCTTTGGATAAATTAAACAGCACTGAGTGCCCTGAGGCAAGACCCGAGTTCACTGAGAAATGTGTGGGCAGGATCAAAGCAGTGAGAAATGCCCRTTTCCTCAGAAGGCACAGCAGGGATCCCTTGTGTGTAGGTGGGTGGCTCTCTGCCTGTGTCCCTCCAGGTGCTGCTGGCACGGCTTTGCCCTTCAGGATTCCATATGCTGCTGGATTGCCTGCAGAAGCTTGTGTTTCCCTGCCCCCTTGAAGTTCCCTGGAAGGCTGGGTGTGCTGAACATGCCAGACCCTTTGAACCTGGCCAGGGAGGTGGTGTTCGGTGTGTGGAGGCAAAGGCAGCAGAGTTGCGAGAGGGTTGGTGCCTTGTCCCCGAGGCTGAACAAGGCAGGGGCTGGCAGTCCCTCAGCCCTGTCCTCTGCCCTTGCCTCTGCCCTTTAGGGAGCAGASAGTTCAGGTATCTGAGCCCAGCCTGTCCTTGCTGTCCAGGTCTGCTCTGAAATGTCATTTGACCTTGGAGGTCCTAGCCTCCAGATTGTTGTGTGGCTATTTAACAGGATAGAGTGATCCTGGTAGGGACTAAAATGAAGTTGAAAAGATTTTATCCTATTCTATGTTCCCTAACCTGGCACAGAATTCAATAGCTGTATAAACAAGTTTTTCTTGCTTATTCTCCCATCCCATTTATCTCTGGTATTTGAGAACTTATACCAAGAAGCGTTCCAATGGGAAATATTCCAGCAAGTGGATGCTCCAGATGAAAGTTTAAGAATTGCCAAACACACTTATATAAAGCAGATCACACAAAACAAACTGATCCTTAGGCATCATTACCAATTGAGGAAGTACAAAGAAATAAAGTGGCTAGGAGCGGATGGATCACACTAAGCTGTGCCTGTAAAGCTGCTGGGGAAAAGATGAGGAAAGTAGGTTTTCTGTGCATGCTTTGTAACCCATGGCTTAGGATTCCAGGTCAAAGGGACAGACTGAACATTGTGTACAGGGGCAGAAGGCTCATGAGCCAACATTGGTATTTAATATTGTCCTCAGGGAGCGGTGGGAGGATGCAGGTTGTAACAACAGTGGAAAAAACTCCTCTCCCCTGCCCCTTTAAAATGAAGGCGTGGCTGGAAGAGGACAGAACCAGAGCGGTCTGTAGAAACAAGAGCAGGGGCCTTTTTGCAGTGTAGTGAAATTCAAAACCGCTAGAAATGTAAAGACCTAGACAAACAGCAGCTATGCTTCACAGGACTGCTGGCAGAAGCTGGCAGATTAAGATCTGAATATGCAGGATAAGTTTGTCTTAAAGRCAGCTAATATTATTTTTCAAGAGCTATCCCCTGGAAAGACAAGTATAGAAATGAGAAGTCCTATCCTTAGAATGGGAGTAGCGGGAATGCTTTGCATGTCTCTGAGCTCTGGGCACTGGCTGAGGGTCACAAGAGGTGCTCAGGCCAGTGAGACAGACTGGGAGGAGGTTATCACCTCACCAGGTGGAAATGCCTGTATGGGAGACAGAATATGTCCCATCCTCCATCCCATCCCTAATTTTTTGTCCCTCGTGTCTTCTCACTTGCTGAGAAATCTTTCCAGCAGCTCAGTAGAGAGCACCCAGTGGAGGGGGCTTGATGGATGTTGGTGAGACTCCCATGTTGGCAGCTGCCTGCTCCTCCTGCCCTCCCAGACATCTCATGGTCCCAGGAGAAACATGGGGGCCTCTGCAGCACTGGGAAAGGGCAGTTGTGTCCAGCCTGGCCTGGGGTGGAATAAGCCATCAGAGGGAGAAATGAAAAGTCTTGAGCTGCCTTATGGTCTGGCAGTCAGGAAAGAGGGGGGCACTTTTGATGGCACCTAAAACTGAGATTCTCAGCATCTCTGTTGCTGAAGGATCGCCAGGGACTTTTTTTTAATTTTAAACTCTCAATTAGCTGAACAGCACACCCATTTATAACAAAATCTTTAAATAGCAGAGGGTAGCCAGGAAGGGTCATGGCCAACAGTTAGTGCTTGGCTCCAGTACATGGTCTATGAGTAAGTCATCCAGGGCCTGGGTTTTCTTCAGCAGCCAAGGCATCAGCTGAAGCTAAGACAGGCTGGTTTGTTCCCATTCACTGGGGTGCTTTTGTCATACCTGAACTTCCCAACAGGGAAGAGGCAYGTGGTGAATAGGTGCCATTTGATGCCACCAATGCTCTCTGGATCATGCAAGGGTAATGCAGCATCCTCAACCAGAGTCTCTGCTCCGTCAGACACCATGCTCTGAAGAGGAAGGAATGTGTTCCTCTCCCCTCTCCTCTTTTTCTTCCCCCACCACATTAAGGCTTTTAGAGTTAAAAGTTTGCAGAGGTTGTGGCACCACTGAAAAAATGCCACAGTTGACCTGGTGTCTTCTCAGGGCAGAGACAGACATAGCTGAAGGTGAATAYGGCTAAAAGATATAAATATAATTTAATGTGATAGCTAGTAGATAGTTGTTTATACAAAATAATCTATTTTTTTTCTTCCTTAGAATGTCTGAGGAAGGGCTTTAGAGTAATCCTGTATAGTTCATTACTCAAGTGACTCACCTTTCTCCAGCGAAGAGCATCGCTGGCATCCTAAAATGTCCATGCCATTAACGTGAGTTGTAAATAAACCTCCAGGGATGGGTTAGGTATTTTAAATCCTATAGCTCTTTCTGTAAGCTCAGGAATGCTATTTGGAGCATTCTGGCAAAAATTCAGCATGAACACTTATACTCTGCCAACTCCAATCCCCTCCCGGAGTTTCACATGGATATAATATTTATCTTCCCTTCCTGTCTTAACTATTGTGTGTTGTTGCTGTAGGTTGCTAAACAACTGCTGTCTCATCGGTGGCTGTATTTTGCTGGCGAATAAACTGAGCCCCATGTGTGTATGAACCATAAAGCTATTTGGAGCCCTTGCATAAGAACCCCAAGATACATGTAAGCTGTTAATATTTATTATGTGGAGCTGAGAACATCACTGAAGATGGAGGGATTAGAGTAACTGAGCTCAGGCTGTTGAACAGCCAGACAGAATGAAAGAGAAAACAGATGCCCTGAAGGAATAAGAGCAAAATGCATGAGGAATTTTCTGCATGTAGGATAAGACTCCAGTGGAGCATGGAAAGAAAAAGGCTGGGAATGCTCCAAAGAGCCAGGGCAGATAGGATGGCTGCAGCACTACAGCTTCTTGCTTGGAGGTGAATCTTCCCCTCCAWGCTCCCCTCAAACAAGCACCAGTTCCCCTATGGGCTCGCTGGGTTGCAAAAGCAGGAGCCCTGTGAGAAGGGACGAGGTGTTTCCAAGGCACGTGAAAGAGGATTCGATCTTCTGGGATGTGCAATGTTTGGCCATTGGCCCTCTTGCTGCTAGATGTTTCAAGAGTCTTCTAACCTGTTTTCTCTTTTTGCYTCATCTCTCAAGAACACCATGACCKAGAAACTCTGCATTTCTTCAGCTGGTTTTGCCTAAGCTGGGCAAAGAGCTTTTCTCTGCCTTACCAGAAACAGGGAGCAACACCAGGCCCTTTCTGCAGAGTMAAGACCTCAGTGAACCAGCTGCTTTGATGTCCAAAGAACTTGTAACAAGGAAAGTCGGGACTCAGTGAGAAAGAGGCTCTGAAAGGGCAGACAACCCTATACCTTCCGCTTTTGAAGTTACAGAAACATTTCTGCACAAAACCCTTGTGGTTACTGTGGCACTACAGCAGCCATCAGCCACCAAAATATCTTGGGCAGCCACTGTGGTGTGTTTCCAAAAGCAGCCACAAGCCCAGTCATCCAAAACTGAGGTTCCTTGAGTAGTTGGGCATTTCTGGACACACAGCTTAGAGTTCTCAGCCAAAGGGAAAATAGGCAAAGGCAGCAGCCTCCAACCTCTGATGAGAGCTGGTTGCTTTGGAAAATTCAGGACTCCTTTCAAAGCAGTGGGATCAAAGCTGAGCCCTTAGTGGTTTCATGCCTTAGAGATTTGGAAAGTCCCTCACTCCAGCGGCTACAACAGCAACTGGCATTGAAGCACAACAGGTAGCTAGCTGCTCCTGTTTGTCTGTGCGCTCCGGGCTCCTCCTGCCCTTGCTGGTGCCAGAGCCTCTCAACG